TATACCAAATAATGAAAAATAAATAAATTGTTATCAAATTTTACACTATGGTTGTGTAATGCAGGGAAAGCAACTTGCGGAACTGTTGGATGAGGACCCGGCATTGATGGAGAGGAGGCAGCAATGTGCCAAAAGGCTCGAACTATATAAGAAAGCAAGGGATGAGGTTGACTCTGTGGCTTGGGTTCGTTGACTTTGACGTGCCTGTGTGGGTGTGAAGATCCTTTTGTATTATGTAATATATAGTTTCACTATAGGCTTGTAACAGTGGATTTTCGAATCTTTGGATTCTTTAATTGAGAAAGCGGGTTTGTTTGTGGGTGCGGTTTGTTACCTGATATATATTCTTTTATGTGTTACATTTCTCGGTGTGTTGCCCTCGATTTTCTGCTTATCTCTGGTATTTTCATGCTACACTGATATGTTGTAAATTTCAGACTATGATGAGTAACCCAGGTTTACTACTGTTTATGTGATTTGTTGAATCCTTGGTTGGTTCAGTTCGCAGAAATGAAAATATGAAATGTGGAAGGTGGGTTTATTCGATCAATTGGTGGCTGCTGGTTTTTTGGGCTTTTAAGGCCATTTTGCATGGGCTGAATGCAATTGCAGGCCATATGTGAGCCATTGTTTCTGGGTTTGGTTATTGGACCTATTAGGTGGTTCCTGGTTTTGGGATTTTAAATCCATTTTGCACGGGTTGAATAGGGTGATATAGGTCAGGTATGAACTTAATTTTTTCGGGCCAGGACCAGCATGGCCCGGCCCGGCCCGGCCCGGCCCGGTGGGTCGTTGGGGATTGAAAACAGGTACCCGGAACTGACCAGGATGTAGTTGATCCAACGGTTAAAAAAAAAACATTCAGTGACTGCAGGTTAGAAATGTTTTCGCAACAACCATAGTATTACCGTATTTCGAATTTGCAACAACCATAATATTACCGCATTTCGAATTTGCATCTATCATGTTTTCGCAGCAACCATAGTATTACCGTATTTCGAATTTGCAACAACCATAGTATTACTGCATTTCGAATTTGCATCTATCTTTACCTGTTGGGCAATCGATAGAATAAATAATGGTTGATACGAGTATTATTTGAACCGAATAAGTTACGTTTGAGCTCGTATTCATTTAATAAACGATGACTTAAGTTCAACTTTTGGAAGGTCATCCGGGGATGCTTGGATATAAGATTTATTGATTTTATGTGGATCTTTTTGGTTTGATTTGGTTAATTTTGAAAAATGTGGTATGATACTATGATTAGTTGTTGGTTTGGTTATGAGTTTGTATTAAAATAAAATTTAAAATAAAACAACTAAAGTTGGTTTGATGTAAATGTAGGAAAGAAATGGTGTGAAGTGATGGTTAGTTAAAATTATGTGAGTTGATGAATAATAAATTAAAGTTAATGTAATGTGTAAGAACATTAAGTGATATTATTTAAAAATATTTGTTTGATAATATTTAAATGTATTGATAATATTGAAAATAGTGAGGTAGAGTTAAAGTCGAGTTAAATTTGAATTAAAAAATTAATTTGTTAAAAATAATTGAATTTTTTTGGAATAACTTGTATCGACCATCCTCTAAAACTTGATCCAATTTGTTTAATAAGTCTATATTTTTGGAAAATGCTATGGTCTCTGACGGTTACATGTTGATCTAACAGTTACAAACCCCGACGGAATGGTTCCGTAACGGGACCGTAGCATCTCCCATAATTTTTTTTTCAGAAATTCTTCAAAAATGAAAAGCAAATAACAAAAAGAGTTGATAATGTCCTGATTCTAATCAACGGTAGATGACTGTTTATTTAACTAGTAAAGTGCACGTGCGATGCACGTGGTATCGAATGATTTTCGTTGGTAAGTTTGTAGGATAAATTAATTTATTTGTTAAACATATCATTGCAGGAATGAAATCAAATATTGAACAAATGAATTCATATGTGATTTTTTTTTTATTTAGAATTAACGTAATGATGTCCTAATAAAAAAAGAGTGAAATAACATTTTACAACCCCCAACTAAAATATATAAAAAACAAATCCTTAATGCAAAAAACACTAAGATTTTCTTTCATCTTTCTCATAAGAAACATTCATACTCGCTGGAATCCAATACATCAATACTATTGCAAAATTCCTCTTACTTCATTTGGCAAAACACTAATTTTATTCATACACTTAAGAAACATTCTGACCCAACATATAGTTAAACTCCATGATCGTATAATCTTTATAATAAGGTACTTCAACTAACAATGCATAAATATCTCTATGAAATAACTAACTGTGTCATTAAAATTGCTGGTATTTTTTATCATTGTATAAACTACTACATTCCTCTGTCTCTAGACATATTGATGTCTACCCCATTGATGCATCACCCCACGAGGTGGGGATGAATTTTATCTCCAAATAAAAGTTGACTTTCCAAAATTTTGGTGACATGTACTTCTCCCGAGGTGCTAAATTATTCTTCGAAATCATCATACATTACCTGAAAGTACCTCTAAAGTAATTGCACATATGTTCGAGTACAATATACCAATGAGATTATAAATATTTCTATAAAAAGTGACAACTTCATTCGAACATTCAAAACTGTTTTGATACTCCGACATTGTTATTTATTTGGAATCTAGACGAATCTATTATTTGAAAATTATTGACCATCATGGTTGTTGCAATGATTTTAGAATTGTTTATCATAATATCTTTCACAATCGTTTAAATATGCAATATTTGTGTGCCTAATAACTTCTTTAATGCTTTTATTGTCCAACATTGTTCATCATATAAAATGATTATAAAATTCAAGATAAAGATCATTTCTTTATTCTCCAACAATGACAAAACAAAACAATGAGAAAATATTGAGAAACATATCATTTGTTAAAATATTTGATAGGAGAAGAATTAGAATTCTATTATATTGCGATACTCTTAGTCATCTGCAAAGTTTATTATTATTGAGTCATGATTAAAATATACATTATGTATTACAAATTTTTGGATTTTTCAATTATTTAAAATTAAAAATAAATAATATAGGATCATTATTTATGAAAACTAATTTCTTACAGAGTCCATATATTTAAACGCTAGCAACAAATAAATAGTAATTCTTACAGACTTTTTGTTTGTAAATATTGGTATTCATACTTCTCTAAAAAAATTCACACGTATTCTTTTTCTCATTGTGTTACTATTATATTATTTGTTTCTTATTCTAAAGACATAATATTTTATTTGCTAAATAATTAAAGCACATTTATATGTATTCCGTTATTTTTTGTATGTGTTTTATATAATGATGTTTTTAAATTATCTTTTTTATAAGGCTACAACTACTATAATCACTTAAGATACAATGTAATATTAATATATTTGATAAAAATTTACTTTTTTATGAATTATTAGATTAAAAAATTTACAATTTTTTTCAATGTTTGATAAAATATTAGGTAACTAAGTCATTTTCATAATCATTGAATACATATATGGTACCGCCATTATAGGGTTATTTTTCAAGCAGTAATTGAATAATAGTTTAACGTACAACTCATTTATTTGTCTTTTTAATTCACATAGGACATAGCTAATGTTATCTCATTTTTCCTTCTCTAGCCTAGTCTTCTCCTTCTTTTATCTATGAATTCACTTCGCTTCGCTTTGTTTGTACCTAAGGTGCATTCGCCATAGTTTCAGCATTACGGCAAACTAGTGTCAAATATATATCAGGAATGAGCGTTCTAGCCAAAACGTGGGAATAGTTGTAAGTTTACCTCCATTTTTTTTTTCTAATATGAATCGTTTCAAATATATGTAAGAAAAATATACCACAAATTTATCTTATATTATTTTATACTTAATAAAATTGATTTAACTTGAATAAAAAAAATAATATATACTATAGTTTTAGGTCAATTTATTGTTTTTAAATTAGTACTGATATATGTGTGTGTGTGTGTGTGTGTGTGTGAGTGTATATATATCGATATAAATAATTATATTATTTTTATTTTATTTGCAATATATTGTCAACTCAAATATTATTGAAAAGAAATGATGTGATATATTACATATAAAAAGAGTAACAAATAAAAAATATGAAGTATTTCAAAATTAAAAAATTTAATGATAGATTATTTTGGATCTATCACTGCAATTAGCTTTCCAAAATTTCCATTGAATTTTTGACTAATTCCAATGATAGTTTTTCCAACGATTGAAATATGGTCCAAAAAAAATTCCAATTGAAATTCAAGTATTGAAATCTTTAAATTCATTAAAGTTCATGTGATTTAATTTGAACTCTGTTGGAATGCCGATGAAATTTTCCAATGAAAGCAATATTTATGAAATATTCGTTGAAATTTTCTGTAGAAGACCTTACCGTTGATGTTTTCATTGCAATATAGCAATTTGTTGTAGTCCTCTTAAACATTAATTTTTTATGTAGTATTTACTGATTAATTGTGTTTGTAATTTTTCTATTAAAAATATATTAAACACATGAAATTTTTAGTTCCTATATATTTTTTTTTCCAGAAATCACTCATTATTTTATCTCAAAATTACCTATTAATTTACCAATTGAATTACATTTTTTACAAATTAAATATTTAAAAATTAGAATATTTCTTATTTTATATGTTCAATATGATATTTATATATTATATTAAAAAACTAATATAGCAAATAAAAAGTTATTTAAAATTAGAATAATAAAGATTTTTTTTTTTGGTAACTTACATGGATAAATATATAAATGACTATTGTCTATCACATCAAATTTACACATAAAATTATAAGGACAAAAATCTAACAAACGTTTAACAACTCAGCTCGTTTACGTCGATAAGTATATTTATAAAAGGTTTATATTTCTTCTATTAATTATAACATTTTTATTTATTACTTTGTTTCATATTTATTAGTACGTGTCAAAACTTATTTATTTTTAATATTATTTATTATATTTAATATTTTTTTAAACTTTTATCTTGTTCTTTTACATGTTCTTAACTGTAGATTTGTCAAAAAATGCATAATATAAAGTCTAGAATTTTTTGGATCATCTGTCTCATTGTATATCAATTATTTGTATATCTTATATTATATTATATTTAATTAAATTTTTTTAATTTATACTACAATTAAATATTATAATTCATAAATTCGTCAATAATATTGTCGAGTCAACTTTTGTTCATAAAATTTCAAAAAACATAATTATTTTCAATTATTTGCTTATGTTGAATTGAGAAAAGTTATGTTTTTTTAATTGTAACTGTATTGACGTGTAACATGTATTATAGATGAGAAATATGACAAATTATGAAAAATATAATTTATAAATTATAATGACATTATGTTATTTAATTGGTATACCTTTTTTATTAACTAAATAATGCCTCAAGTATGAAATTATTTTGTATCCACCATTGCAGGTAGATTTTGAATAGAACTTCCATTGAAATTCTTACAATTCCAGTGACATTTTTTCCAACTATTGAAATAGGACCCGAAAAAAATTCAAACGGAAATCACACAATAATAAATAATGATAATTGGATTAATTAAATCCATTGAAATTTCAATATAATGTAATTTGATCTCTGTTGGAATAGTCAATGAAATTTTACAATGACAGCTATACGAATAAAATATCATTTGGGATTTTCAGTGGATGTTTTACTGTTGGATTTTTCATTGCAATGTACCATTTTTTTATTCCTTTATAAATTATATTTTTTATGTAGGAGTTTTTGTTATTAATTAGATGTATTTATAATTTTTCTATTAGAAATATATTAAACACATGAACTTTTTAATCCATATATTTTATTAGAAATCGCTCATTATTTTATTGCAAGACTACCTATTAACTTATCAATTGAGTTACATTTCTTGCACATGAAATCAAATAATAAAAAGTATTATTGTATATATATAATATGGTATTTATATATTATATTAAAAAACTAATAGCAAATAAAACGTTATATAAAATCAAAATTATCAAAGCTTTTTTTAAAAAAATAAAAATAAATTTCTAACCTACATGGATAAAAATATAAATAACTATTGTCTATCGTCTAAATTTATACACTGAACTAATAAGCGCAAAAATTTAACATGTGGTGAATAATTTGGCTCGTTTACATCGATAAGTACAAATTTAAAAGTTCTACATTTACTTTTATTAATTATAATATTTTTATTTATTACTTTTTTTTCATAGTTATTAATAAGTGTTACAACTTAATTATAAATTTAATATTATTTATTAGATTTATTATTTTTTTAACTCTAAACCATTCTTTCATATGTATTTTAATATGTGTGTGTGTGTGTGTGTATAACTTTTAGGTTTGTTAAAAAATACATAAATTAAAGTATAGCACTTTTTTGAATCATATGTCTTGTTTATATCAATTGATTTTATATCTTTATATTATATTATATATAATTATAATCTTCTCATTTATACTCAAATATATAAATTTTTTATTTTGTACATTTTTTTCTTAAAAACCATTTTATTATAATGACACATATTAATAGATAGATGAGTAATGATAATATATGAATATGATTTTTTGATTAAAATTAATTAATTTTCAACATGTAAATCATATCATGATTCTCGAGAAATTTTTAATTAATTTGTAGATAATTATATGGTTAAAATTAATCCATGTTGCTAAAGTGGTATGAAAACAAATAGATTAAGTTTAGTATTATACAATTTCATAAATTATTCTGGTCTTATGTACCGAAGAAATTGAATTGATTAAAAGTTTAGGTTGCAGAACAATCATTCAACAATTAATCTCGCATACTATTACACATTTTGTATAGGTAATGTTTTTATACTTTGTGGTCGTTATGAGAAAAAACAATTTTCTAGTTTTATAAGTGTTTATTATGCTTTTTTTATTGGATCAATTTTAATCTCTTTAAAGAACTTTTATATATTAGAGTTATGAAATGTGATTACAATATTACCATTAAAATTATATTAAAAATAATGACGTTTTTCAAAACAACAATTCTATGTCCTATCAAAATATGATTAGAGGACATCTTTGATCGTTCATCTCTAATGTGACACGTTCCCTCCCAGTCTTAATTTCAAGGGGATGTGGAAGAAAACAAATTCGTGAAAAATAATGGTGCCAAACCCACATGTTGTAGTTGATTTTAGGAGCGTGGAATGATTTGTTTATGTATTTGTATTTAATTAATTAAATATTAGTTATAATTAAAAATATAAGATATGATGGACATTAGTATATTACTAATTTGCCATTAAAAACATGACAAGGTAAGGGTTTTTTTAGGTAATTCATTTTTGTATTTAAAAATATAAAATATGATGTGTATAAGTGTATTACTAATTTGTCATTAAAAATATGACAAAGTAAGAGTTTTTTGGGTAGTTCATATTTTTACAAAAACACTTGTCCTTTTAGAGTAGTATAGATATAGATATAGATATAGATAGATAGATAGATATAGAATAGATAGATAGATATAGATAGATAGATTATAAAAAATTTCATGACTATAAATCTTCAAAATCAACACTCCACAAAAGTTTTTCTTTTAACATTTTTTTTTTTATTTTGTGTGCAAATATCATTGTTTTTTTCAAGTTAAAGTACAAAAATGTGATCACACCTTTTAGAATCTTTTGATTTGACAGCTAGTGAGTAGAGCCCAACCCGCGCCACTGTAAATAGAACGTAATATAGGACCTAAAAGGCAAATAAAACAGGTAAAATTCGGGCCGAAGGGCCTGTGAAATGGCGTGTGGGTGTGTCCCGCCGAGCTCAGCCATGGCTTCCCGCCAACTTCATCGGTAAGCTCGCTTTTCCCGACGAACCTCAGATTTCGTTTAATATTAGTTTTTTTTCTGCTGGAAGAAGAGAGAGGTGTTTCCCTTTGTCTGAGCTCAAAGTTAATTAGTAGTGCTTTAGATGTTTGCTTGAATATGAACATGATTTCGCGATTAATATTTCATTTTTTTTGCATTCAATATCATTTTTTCTTTTCCTCTGTTCCTATGATCTGTTTGTTTGAACTGTGATTTTATGGTGATTGTGAAGATATTGTGTGGGAATGTGATTGACAATTATGCATTTACAGCCTGTTCAGTGTAAGGATTTGGGTGGGAAATTGGGAGATACCGATTATAAAGGCATTGGCATTTTACCGTGTGTTGATCCAACAGTAAAAAACACTGGTGTGGGCAATGGGTATGAATGTGCCGGAAACTGGACAGTGATCGATTTTTCTTTTTTCAACATTCTCGAATCTCAAGTCCTTTGGTTATGGATCCTACCTGAGGAGATATTGATTACACAACAAGAAGTATATACATCACTATATTATGTTCAGATATAGTGATTACCTCGAAAACTACAAGTATATACTAATCATAATGGTTTAATAAATTACAGTAATTTATTAAACCATTATGATTAGTATTCTTCGTGATCACAAAATTCGCATTGAATCTCGTGGGTAGAAAGTTACTTGCCCGAAGAAGTGAAATACATACATAAGTTGAATATTTTTTTATTTTTTTTTCTAAGTACAACATAAGTTTAGATATAAAATTACTTTGCCAACTTTTTCTCAAGCCATATAAGTGATCAGTAGTTATTCTTGATTTTCGGAGTGCAGTCCACCAAATGATTGCAACAAGAATAAATATCCGATTTCGCTGTTCCAAAACAAAGTGCTTCTCTAATTTAACTTTGAGTCCGTGATGTTTGTGAGAGGACGGAACCCATGCTCAAGGCTGGATTGCCAGATTTTTTCGATGTCGAACATCATATTTCCATACTCATGCACGTCCCATCCTTCCATGCCGTGCAGTATTCCAGCTATGCGCCATGCACTCATCACTCTTCTTGGTAACCAATTCTGTCGTGCATTGATAGAAAAGAAACTTTAGTGATTAATATATATAGTAAAGCAAATTAGAAGGGGCTGTAAAAGGACTTGTGGATGTACAATGATATGCATGCCATTGCTGTTCTAGGCTTCTAGCTATCCGTGTTGCTAATGAATACTGGACCTTCTATTAATTAAGTACAAGCTACAATTTGCGGGTGTAAAAGGTAACGATTTAAAGTTGGGTTAATTGCAAAAATTATCCCTGTGGTTTAGCCTGATTACAAAAAGCTCTTTTACATGTGAAAATCACAAATAAGCCCCTGGTCCCTACATTTGTTTGTCTTAAATTTAAATACAGATCTCAGTGATAGTATTAATAAGGCTTGTAACTTCTTGCTATTCAGGTGCCGCCAGAATCTTGTGCATTGTTATCATGGAAGCCCAATGCACTAGTCGAGATGTAAATATTTTTTTATTTTCAGAAGAATACTAATAATGGAATAACTCTGGAGCTTTTTATCCCTACCTCGCAAGAGTCGACGTTCTCCAGGTGCTTGGGAACCAACATAGCTGGTGTGCTGTTGTAATGGCAGTTCTTGCGCATCTTCTTTGGAGGAAAAGGTGAGAATGGGATAAAGACAGTTCCTTTTGGTGCTTTTAGCTGTTCTTCATCACTCAGTCCATCTCCCACTAGCCATATCTGAACAAGCAGCAGCTTAGTATTAGCATATGTACCTCCATATAAAACCAAAGTTTATGTTGGCCACATAAATGTCACATGGTGGATATTATTTTCATTATCATAGACAGAATGAAAGAGTTCTGTTACACGGTTTCTGTTGAAGCCGCTACTTTTTTTCTTTTGGAATGTTGTGTGCAAGTTCGTGATAATTTTACCAAAATTCCAAGTATTATGTGGTTGTTGCAGGAGTTGATACATCCTAGCTATGGTGATTGAAAAAAATTTTGTTTACCTGAGGAGAACTGTTTTTGGAGTGTACCAAATTTTTCCCGGCTTCCTCACTTTGCTTTGCTTTAAGTTTCTTGTACTCATCCTCACACATTGCGTGCACCTGTAGTGATTACAAAGGAGCATGCTTTTATCGATAAAATGTATCTTCAATTATTTTAATTGGTTCTATTACTATTATTACTATTTCTAAACTTACCTGGATACCTCCTTGGCATAGGGCAAGGGCAATGGAGTAAGCAACCTTTGACAGGTTCCCTCGAAGGACAACCTGAGTTGTTCCTTTCGGTATGCTATTGAGCACAATAGCTACGGCTAAACTGCTTCCGTCCACCAGCTTCACTTTTAGCTTAGGGTGCCCTCTCAAGAAAAGCTCACCGTTCTCGTTAAGACCCTCTACCTGCATCAGATGATTGAAAAATGTAATTTAATATGCTCTGGCTCAATGCAAAAATATTGTCAGTGGTATTGGGACTGTTAGTCGTTACTTGCCTGATTCAATAATCCCAAGCTCAACACTTTAGCGCCCTTGCTCTCGGCTTCTAATATGCTGTCCTCAATCATTGCATTTATTGATTCTCTCTGCCACTGCATGTAGTACTGCAAAAGACGTGAAACTAGCATCACTAGCGATTCCTTGAAAAATATTACAATTAGGCTTTAATTAAGGTTCACATTTTAATATCTTTATAAACATAAGGGTGATTTTTCAAATTCTTTGTTAGAAAGAGACAAATGGGACAGAACTGAAGCGACCCACAAAAGGTTCTGTTGTAATTTGAAAGTTTTCTGAGTAATCTTGTAAGTACCCCAAACATATGTGGTAATGTTTGTATTTATCCTGTCCTGCATAAATACTCACTTATTCATGGTGCTATTTGTTGAACAGAATCACATATCAGTGGATATTCATTGTTTTCAACATAGTTAGACTGCTTTTCCCTCATTTTTTACCTGCACGCTGTATTTGGGAATGGCCCATGTCTGCAATTTTAATTGTTTGAAGACATTTCTCTCCACAGTAAAAGTGCGACCGTAAATCCAAGTGATCATCATCGACCAAATAGTTACAGGCCACATCAGCCACAAGTACCACTTGGATTTGTGAGGCTGAGAAGCCAAGTACGCAAATCCGAGACGAAGATGGTAAATGGATTCTGGTGTTGTGAGGTGAGTCAAATGCACCACATCAGGTTCTTCTTCCTTTCTAACAAGTGAGGTTTCATATAGTGACTCTGTAGTTTTGTCCATTGTGCCATACACGTAATCATAGAATGGCATGAAGAGTGAGTAATTTGTCCGAAATTGGGTGTGATGCAGTGAGTGGTACCTGTATAGCCAAATATAAGTTGTTTAGAATTATCAACCTAGTTACTTAATTCCTGGCCTAAACATAATTGAGATTGTTAATTTGCAATTAAGACTATCCTATATGATCTGTCGAGATTTAGCACAGAGGAAAAGAAAGTATTATCTTGTACTTTTGTCGAGTTTTTTGTTAGTTAAAAACTGTTTTAGGTATTATTTTGAAAAGAAATATAAAAAAGCAAGATGCTTAGTATTCCTTTGTGATAGTGCATTTTCTTTGTTGGTTAGGCTGTACATGATTTTTTCAATAAATTTGTGACAGTGCTCATTGATTGTTACTTCGATACTGCAATAGTGGGTAAGGCTATAAATGTCACTAGTCGATGAGAATGGAAAGACTACATGGGAGGTAAATTGTGTCTTAGAAAATATAGTCTCTGTAGAAAACGAGTGGTGAGGCTGCCTTAATTATGGGGGTAAAATAAATGCTCTATCTCATCTGCAAAATTTATTGCCTACATTACACAGATTGTATTTCTGGCAAAGTAGTAGGTATATGGGCAGTAGTTGGGCCAAATGTTGTGACCAAATTGTAGGGGTTATTTATGGCTTATCCTGTGGGTCTTGGGAATGACTACAATTAT